ACGCTCTACGAGCTCCGCTAATACATGTTCTCTACAATACGTCTAGGTCTACCGCTGAGGGGTCAGAATAAATATTTGGGATTATCTTGCATTTGCTTACTACATTACACATTTTTCTTTTTTAATGAAAATGATATTTTGTCTCCGCCTTTTCTTCATTGAGGGGTCCGACTAAGTAAAGAAAGATAATCGAAGTTGCTGTAAGCCGCTGAAGTCGGGTAATGATTAATGAAAGCCAGGGAAGGGACCTTTTGTATAATTCATGGTTCAGGAAAATTTGTACAATGCTATATTTATACTTTTTTTTTTTTTTACAAGCAAATCCATTCGTGGCTTGTGTCCAAACATACACGCATTCGTTTGAAATTACATCGAGTTGCACACCAGTTACTTCAGCTCCAATGAGTTCGAAATGGATGACGTCATTGTCAAACATCAAAACAGTTCCACGAATGAGAAACATTTCTAGGAATATAATTCACCTCCATTTGAAACAGTTGGGCGACGACTATTTTGAAGCTGGAACCAGCCATCGACTCACTCTCGCCCACTCGTACGAGTCTTCGTATAACTTTTGCACTGAACATTTTTTACTTGAGCCTGCTATTCTAGCAGGTGAGCGTTGAGTGCGTGCAGATGTGACGCAGCGGACTGGCTTGACGCCGTACAAAACGTCCTACTTTTCTTTTTCTTATTAGCGGATTTATTTTGATATTGAGAAAAATACATAGGGAAAGACGACCGATTTCGAACAGTTACTGAATGGGACCAGTGCATATCACAGCCATGGAATTGCATTTTGTATGCAAAAGAGGTGCAATAGATTCAATGCCACTGGCAGAGCAGAGAGAAATTAATATCTGAGATCCCTGTGAGTGTGAAAAATTTCGGCAAACGAGCTAATTTGTCCCACTTCTCATTGCTCTGCAAAAAATGACTTTTCATAAGAATGTGAACGTTTTTATCTTGGGAGAATCCCGTCGTCATTTACTACTCCCCCTGGAAAATCTCATGTTTTCAAGATCGCAGTTTTCATAATTTCAAAGGAAAAAGATTTAAGAAGGAAGTAAGAAAAAGGAACAGAATGGACTTGCTTAGAATAGACCTGCTCAGTGTATCCCTACAAAACGGCTCCGAGCTTTCATCGGAACCCGGGATGAAGTATGCTATATATATAGTTTCTCATCGGAAAAGAACATCGCGGAATGGCCATTTCGGAAATTGTGGATACAGTTCGACGAGAGAACTGTTTCCCTCCCCCGGGAGCCCGATTGTCGGTTTTATTTGAAGAAGTACCAATTAAATACGACTAATTTTTCGCTGTTTAAATCTAAACACACACTGACAATGAAGAGTCTGTTGACTCTCTGTTGAGTGGTACCTGCTATTTCTTGAAAATCACTGGTAGATCGTTGACAACAATGTGTCGAAATAAAAAAAAAAAGTTTATACTGGGACATTATGCTTAAAGTCAGATTTTAAACGCCTACGCCCTTTCCCGGTGTTGTCGTTGAATATCACAAGATGGCACGGATTTCATTGTCTGTGCCCATAGTGTTAAAATGCCCATCAAGAACCTGCAAAAATATTTTAATCTCCCTTCGCTCTTGTTTTTAATAGTTTTGTAAATATTCACATATTGATAAGTTCTAAGCATTCATTTATTTTCGATTTTTTTGCTTCATAATAGGATTCTGAAAGATTTCATCATGGATATGAATTCTCTGCGAGAAAGCAATTTGATCTTGTACCTGTCAGCTGCCAACAGGGTAAAATGACACAATTTTTCGCCCCCTTGATCCCGTTGTTTTTTAAGAGAGACGTTTAGTTAAACCAGCCTTGCGTGTTATGTTCGAAAACTACATGGGTACCTTTAATGGCTCAGTAAATTGGGTGCTATTTTAGAATACCGAACGTTTATCAAATTAAGGTTTAGTTAGAGCTAGTTAACTAGAATTTTACGTGGTTCCTAATGTTATTTTATGCACGAGAAAGCAAGTCACTAACCATGTACTAGTCTGCGTGTTTGCAGTGTTAAATTACAAACCATCCACTCTAGCTCATGCTACTTTACAGGATGCTTTGCACTTTCACAAATCAGAAAGTTTACTTTGCTCTTAGGAATCAATTTATATCGAGATTTCGTCAGAGTCACTCATCACGTCATTTCATTGTAAAAGGTTATTGCCACCGAGTAATTAAGCGTTCGATTCTATAACGGTACAATGCTGTGATTGTTTTCTCGCCGGGAACCTTTGATTTTCAGCCCTGGTCTGGATGTTTTTCCAACGAAAATTTGAAACGAGAGATGACGGAGAAGATGGGCAGATACACTGATTGGGAAGAGTAAGAGAAACTCACTCGGAAAATGTCTAGAAATGCTCGGCGGCTCTTTTGTTTTACGCCTGGTTGGTTTGTTATGGTTTTTGACGACGTGCGCTTTTACAGTAGATAGGACGGGATACAGAGGCCAGTGGCGAAACTATTTGCCTGCACGGAATTCTAGAGGAAATGCATTATATTCCCGATATCTTCGAAGAAATAGCCATTGGCCTCCAAGGGTGAGTCCGATGGCATTTTCCTACACCAGGTCAAACAAGTGGAGCAAGCCAAGGCGGGTAAGAATTGGAAGATCCAAAGGTGTTAAGGTTTGTTTTATAATTGTATCAAAATGTTATAGTTTTCGACAACAGGTTGCTTTGTTTATATCGCTTGGAGAAGGCCTTGCCTGTCTGTTTTTGTCCGCTATTACTGCCTGTACATCGATGTCCACAAACTGGAAATGCGTGCTCTCATGCGGGAACCTATAACCTTGCAATGAGAATAAATTCTATTTTGAGATAAACCAAACCACAAGTCACTGTTAGCGATCACCCGACGGTTAGCTGGAGGACTTTTGTAAACGCAGATAATTTTATCGGAGACTATTTTTTTCACATTATCACATTAAGTTCGATTTGTGCAGAGCTGAAGTGGAGGAAGAAAGGTTTTGGTGGAAAACAAGAAAAAAAGTAGATAAAGCTTGGTAACTAAGTTGTTCATTGTTGGTGGCCGTATTTTGAATCTATCATAATGTCAAGCGATTTTAGCTTAGTTGCACGCATTATTGTGTGGAATTGGGGAAACAGTTTTACGAAACAACCTAATCTCATGCTTTGTAGATAGGAAATGCTTGTTCAAAATGCTTTTTTTTCCCTGAAATTTGCTTTCGATCTAAGTTCTTATACGAAAAACGTTGCAAAAGTTATTTACGTTTGAGACATGAGGTATGTCTCAAAGGATGTCCTCGCGTTTCATTTCCCTATTTTACTGGCTACTCCGGTAAAATGTCGTTAAAAGAGTATAGCCTGATAATTCCTTTTCCTCTCGCCAATTCCCTGTGAACAGGAGGTTGTTTGGATATCATGTGTGTGACCAGACAATTGGAAAGCAACGCTTCTTAAAATTAAAACCTTCAAGATAAGGTTGTGTGTTTATTTTTTGTGGGTTGGATTCTGCCTTCAGTTCTTAAGCTTTGTAGCAATAAATTCATATAAATATAATAGACCAGAACAAAAAATACTCAGTACAACTGCGGCAATTGTGAATCAGTAGACTGAGGAAAGCACACGTGAAATTTAATTTATACTTACCCGCTCAAGCAGAAAGCTGGTTGTACCTGTAGTTGCCTTTGATTGGTCGAGTGGTTCGTGTGGCAAATTTTGTTTAAGGGTGGCAAGGAAAAAGGGATCAGTGTCAGGATCTGCAACTGTGCACCTACCACCCCCACCCCAACCCAACAACAGACAACTAATAACAAATTAGGGTTAGTGTTAGGTGGAAAATAAAAGACTCTTGTGTTGGGTTTGTGGAGGCGTTGATGCGAAGTTGCTCAACTTGTCAAGTGGTTCCCACCCAGTCATAAAGATCCTGACAGATTGGTTGTAAAGGAACCACGTTTCATCATTATTTTGAAACGGTTTTCCACGTCGCTAAGAACTTTCACGTACACCTCTGAAGCTAACAATTACCACAGTATACTATGATTTCTGTAATTGAAACGTGGCTTAGGTATTAGACTTTTTCTTCTGGATGGAATGCCTTTCCATCGTCTGATAGATGGCATGGAATATTACGTCTGGTTCGCCTAGAAAATTTCTTGATATTAGTTGATGATCCTATACAGAGAGGCTTTGTCTAAGTTTAGCTTTTTCCCAAAGATTATAACTCAATGACTAGGCCTCGATTAGAAGTACCACGCCCACGCGCTCATTATTAGCTAATCTTGTAACTATAAAACTGTGGTAAATTGAAAATATGTTGCTTGTCCCGATTAGGAACCAAAAACAAAGATAGAGACAAAGAAACAAAAAGCCAAACGGAAAAATAATGGTAAAAGAAAGAAAAGATGTATCTAACCCCTTGTCATATCTCTTCGTAATAACGATTTTTGAAATCGGAGAAAATCCTCTTAAAGTTCGGTTCTTGTTACAGCGACAAGACATTTACGACGGTTCAGATTATGACTGGGATGGATTTCCTGTGGAGGATACCCCAACATGGCCTCCTGATTACAACGCTTGGCCCCAAGCAGCAACTCAAGCACCTTCCCAAGTGGTCATTCCACAGCTACCTCAGCAAGTACCGACCCAGCCACCATTTCAAGCCCAACAACTCGGCCCATATCGAGTACCCCCTGCAGTTACCATTCAGATTGGTACACCAGTAGAGTCTAAAGTAGTCCCCCCGTCGAGGATAACCATTTCAACAACCCACACGCAACCACTGACTCCTCGACTTAATCCTTATAAGGATTCAAAGTAAGTAACATTGTACCCTGATTTACTCCTCTACAAATTTCTGCGGGGACTGGAAACAGTCCTTTCCAGCTCACCTGGATGATTGCTAAACGCTATTGTCACATACTTCTACTATCTCGTTAGTGTTTAGGGTAAATTGTGTCTTCCAAATGAGAATTTAAAAGCAGTCCTAAAGCCTTTTTTTTTACCTAACAGGCCATCCGTAAGTATGGAGGCGCGCAATGCATTGAGGGTATGCAGCCCTGGTCCACCTCTTGGCGTTAATCCGCTGTTCAAAAATTGTCTCATTATTGGGGAATCAATTTCTCTTGGGTAGATATGAAATAATATATATTTAACGGCTCACTAAAGTTACATAATTTCATGCTTGCTATCCCATCAAGTTCGTGAGTAATGCTCTTAAGCATGATTTATCAAGAATTTTTTTCTCAAGTCTTTTGCATGCAAACGTTCAGTAGGAATGCAAAAAGAAAATTCGATGCAGTAGCGCAGTATGCCATCTCTATCTAGCATCTTTTGTACGGCATCCCTATATGCCCCTCCTTTTTGTCTCACTTTATTGCAATTTTTTAGAATTCTCCTCGGATTTTTCTCGTTTTAGATATCTTACGACGGTGAAGGGTGAACTTAAAGGTTTATGTCAGGTTCAGCACGCGCCATTTGCTAAGGGGTCTGGAGCTGTGGACTCCAGATACGGCCTACAGTGCCTATCTATGATGCTTAGCACCACGTCACTAGAACCAACTCATTATGATGCAGTTGTTTTTAATTTTGGAATGCACGACATCGATTATAGCAAGTTGTTTCCAGAGGTAAGTAGGTTTTATTCACTCGAGTTTTTCCGTGCATTTTTCGTTTTATATTACATTTGAATTCTTTTTCTTCAATTTGAGTTTCAACAATTGAAGGCAATGTCGATACGGAAGATCGAGACTAGACAATGTTGCTCACTCCTCATCAATTGTTTTTTTTCTCCAGGAATTCGTCCCAATAGAAGACTATGGCCAAAACCTCAGGAAAATTAAAAATATTCTTCTCCAAAGTGGAGCTCAGGTAGCTTTTGCTCTCACAACGCCTGTTCCAATCGCTGGACTGAGGAACAAAAGAGTTATTGCGTACAACAAAGAGGCTTTAAGGTACATGTTGTATCGTTGATATCAATACTTTACTTTTCGACGATGGCAATTGACAGTATCAAATACTGATAAACTCGTGGCCCTCAAAAATGCCCTCGTTCGGGATGTAAAGATCATCGAAATTACGCTCGCACTAAGTCGGTTCTCTTTCAACGGAGAGCCGATTATGATATGCTGCGAGCCAACCCCGGCTGGTCATAATGTCTAACCACGATGAGTGGCAATTTTCTTTACACGTTCCATCGCTTTCTTGATTTTCTTATTTTTTTTTAAAATTTATCCCCCCTCCCCACTCCCCCTCTCCTCTATTTCAATGTTCACAAATTTTATAAAACATCATTTGAGGGAGGGGGGGGGGGGGCGAGAATATTTTGAAGATGAGTTACCTTATTACATGATACTTTCGCGAATTTCGCGAATCCAAAAACCAAACAAACGAAAAGTAAGTGTCCTGATCATAGCACGACGCAAAAATTTATAATAATAAGCATGAACTGCTCATGGATATTGTGAGAACCGTTCTATTGATTGTTACTGTTGACATTTATTCCTGCTGCTGCTTTCTTTCTAATTTCGACGTCATTTTCCTTCTATTAAGTCATTTTATTCAGTCAAAGGATATCTTAAGTAGCATTGCTAAGGAAAGGTTAGCTGTGTCTTTCTCTTATTAAAGTCATTCAAAATACAAATTTTTTTGTAATCAGTCTGCGCTGAACGAAATTCTCGTTTAGCATGAGGGGCTATTGTCTGGCTAGGGTGACGCGATTTAAAACAGAGTTAACCTTCGATGTGTTTGTAGAATAATGGAGGAAGGCCCGAGGGTGGATATCATTGACCTTCATGCTGCGGTCATCAAAGTTTGCGGGGAGCCACCGTACGATACTTGCAGTATCATGAAACAACCTCGGGACGTGGTAATGAATTGAATTATTTTATTTTATTTTGATTTTATTTAATTATTTATTTTTTTATTTTAATAATATATAACATATATATATAGATATTTTTTTTTTTTACAATTTTAAATTGAGTTTAGGAGCGTGCTGTTGTTACAGAAGTCGCTCCCTCAATTTTAACACCTAACTTTTATGTTCATTTTACACACTCATTCCCACCCTTGCATACGCTTTGTTCCTTTTTTTTTACCCACTGATCATGAGTTTGCTCATCAGTGGAGTGGGAACTCATTTTCATGGGATCCCATACATCAACACCAAGGGAAGCCACAAAGGTTGCTAGTGAAACTACTGATTAATATATTTAATACTATACAAGCGATATACAGACAAAGTACTCAGTTTTTGTTTTAACCAGTGCGTGAGTAACTTTAAAGGACTGTTTATTAACCGGCTCCCCGGGTGGTATTATGGAGAACTTTAATCAAAAGTAACTGACAGCGACTGGTAAGATAGACCTGATCATGTGTGTCACTCATATGACACGCAAATCTGAAGTAACGTTTCTTTATTTCGATCTAACAAAACATCATTCTCGACGAATTTTTTGTTTAAATCCCAATCGTGTTATTACGGACACAAGACATTCTCCACCCCATAAGTGGATAAAGGCTAGATAACTGTGAACGTACTTCTTTGAAAGAGTTGAGTGTTCTGTTTTATATGTGTATTTTGTATTGTTGTGAAGGCCGTAAGTTAGATAACTCCAGTTGGGATAATTGCGTCACCTTCGTTAAATAAAGAATATTGTATATATATCTTGTTAACCAAGCACGAGGGCCGTACTGGGAGATTATCGGCCCGAGGTCTTGACAGTACGGACCGAGCGCAGCGAGGTCCGTACAAAAAAGACCGAGGGCCGATATTCTTCCAGTACGGTCCCGAGCAAGCTTGGTTAATAAGAGATTTATTATACGACTGAAGTTCAAAGGGACACAAGTGCGGTATCATTCGGGACCATTCGGGACAGTGCCCGGTCCAATACTGAGAGAATATTGACCGGCAATAGAGCATTTTGATTGGTTGATTTTAG